TATATATATATATATATATATATAAAAAAAAAACAACTCAACTGCATAGTTGTGAATCAGCTGTGAAGTATCTGGACATTTCTGTCTTGACTCACACTGGTTGCCAAGATGGCTGAACGGCCTACAGCTGCAGGCTTTTTCCTTTTTGAATGGAGACGTCTAACTGCTTTCTGTACGGGATTCATTTCATGTTTGTTTTTGTCATCTGACACTGAGCCTAACGGACATTAGCGCTCATTCTCCAAGTGTCTCCCCCACCCATATTGTCAGACTGCCACGAGGACAGGAAGCGGAGCTGAAGCATCCAATCCTGGAGCAGGAGCACCGCACACGACACGTGATGCAGGCTTGAAACACATGACTTAGAAACCCACAAAGGGCTGCTCCATGTCTGTTTGTAAGCAAACGAATGTACATAAAGAAAATCAGGATCCAAAGTGTCAACACAGGGTATTGAATACCTTTTCACTGAACTCTGTTGCACATGGCCGTGGGCTTTGAACCGGGGACACTTTGGTGTATTTCTCTGTAGCTCAATTGCTTCTTATAGGAACATAATGATCAGATTTTTAACCAAATATAATATTTGGCATCTATCAACATTTTTGGATCTTCTATTAATTGAAAATTTTAAAAAGCAACAAAAAAGAATCAATAATACATGAAATACCTGTTTATTTACAAGTATTACGATGCAGTTTTCTTCGTTTAGAAGGCTGGCTTTGGGGAATTACTTTTCGAACATCGCCTAACAAACACATCCTACACGTGGCAAAGTTCACTCGTAGTCTGCAACAAGTGTTGAAGCAGGTTTAACTAGATTATTCAACAAACAAACATAGCATTTGAAGGAGTGGCCCTGTGGTCACTCACACAGGGAGGCGAGGAGACCTATGAACACCTTTCTCAAACACTCTCAATGCACAACCATTCACACGTATTTACATTTCTGGCAAACACTCGCACATGCACCTGCCTACACACACTCACTCTGGGATATGTTTATACTCTCACACACAATCGCAGCTCTATCACACATCCTCTCACACACACTCGCAATTTCCCCAAACTAAACTCTGATAAGCAAGCTTTATCTGCGCTGTAAAGAGGCCCCCGCGGAGGGTTTCTGACCTATGAAGGAGCGCCTCTTGGTGTTGAGTTCAGTGGCCGTGCGGACGCTGGTGCACAGGTTCAGCATGATGAGCATGGTGGCGATCATGATGATGCTCTGCCACAGCAGCAGGGTCTCGAAGTAGCGGCCAAATCTGATGGAGAGAAGAAAAATGTGCTAACATGTAGCAGGCATGGAACACAACTACACATGCTGGATTTTACTACTGCTATGGAACTTCAGCAGAAGCTTGTACAATGTTAATAACCTCTAGGAAGATATCAGGAAATAATCCCAGAAGGGTTTTTGTCACTCTTAAATACCCGCCACGTACCTGCCACATTAGACAGTTTAGAGTGAACTGCTCAGTAGTTTGATGTTTTGGTTTAGTCAGGGACTCATGTGCTTTTGCCTGTACCTGGTTAGTACTCCAGTTTAATTAAATAAAATGCACCTATCACTTTAAGATTACTGGAAACCATAATTAAATCCAGCATGTATCCAATCCACCAGTTATTCAGTTACCTTGTGTAGGTGGTAACTTGTGAGTGGAGCATCTGTTGGTCATAATTTGTATCCAGCATCTCTTGAAGAATTTATTCTTGAAACATATTAACTCTTGTTCCATAAAGTATAAGCTATACTTCTGCATTATAAGCAAGTACAGAAGCTGGTCTTGTTGTGAGTGAACAGACAGGAGGAGGTGTTACCTGAAGAGTATCCGTAGGATGTTAGCCACCAGGAGGACCAGGCACACGTACGTGGAGAAGCCCTCTGCGTTCTGGGTCCGGCGGATGTCTCTGTACTGGGGCACGTAGGGCACCACCCCACCGAACACCATGGCACCAGCGGCGATCCACGCCACCAGGTCGTGAAACACGGACACAATCTGGTCAAACACCTCATCCTCCATTGTTCAGCTGCTAACGGAGAAGTTGTACAGTGATGTCAGCTGGCCGTCACTGGCTCGATGGAGACTGTTACGCGGTGTTTATCCTCCCTTTGGTTCCTTGTAGTGACTTGTAACATCCGTGTTGTTCGTGCATAGTCCTGACACGAATCACACAGACGGTACAGTCATATCTGAGAACAGTCCAAACAGTGGGGACGTCAATATGCTACTGTACCGACAGAACGACGCTCACTAAAGGCAGCGGTGGTTTGTTGCAGTGGAGCAGACGGCCGTTAAGCTGCTCATTACGTCACATTTCTCAACACTCCTGTTGATGCTAGCTGTCGTTGTTTGACAAGGCTGCACCAAACTCAAGAAGAAGAAACTCCAACGGTTCCTGATGTTGTATAAAATGCTATCGGAATAGGCAATACACTTGTCAAAAAAATGGTATTCCTTTTGTGCTAGCGCCCCAAATTGTGACTGTAGTTTCTTCACTGACTGGCTCATCTGTGTGGCTTCTTCTTTGGTGCTTATTGCATTCTTTTTTTTCTTCTTCTTCGGGTTTCATTGGACCATTACCGCCACCTTCTGCTCCGGAGTGTGGATCAGCCAATAGACCTACAATCTTCCCCCAAACCAAAACAAACAAATAAAAAAAAAATACAGAAATAAAATACTATACTATAC